GGTGTGTGTGGTGGTTGGTGGGGGGGGGGGGGGGGGGGGGTGGGGTGGGGGGGGGGGGTGGGGGGGGGGGGGTGTGGTGTGGGTTGTGGGGGTGGGGGTTGGGGTTGGTGGGGGGGGTGTTGGTTGGTGTGTGGGTTTTTTGGGTGGGTGGGGGGGTGTTTGTGTTGGGTGTGGTTGTTGTTTGGGGTGTTTGGTGGTTGTGGTGGGTGTTGTGGTGGTTGGTGTGGGGGTTGGTGGGGGGTGTGGGGGGGGGGGGGTGGGGGTGGGGGGGGGGGTGGTGGGTGTTGGGGGGTGGGGGGGGGGTGGGGGTTGGGGGGGGGGGTGGTTGGGGGGTGTGGGTGGGGTGGGGGTGTGGGTGGGGTTGGGGTGGGTTGGTGGTGGGGGGGGGGGGGTGGGGGGGTGGGGTTTGTTGGTGTGTGGGGGGGGGGGTTGGGGGGGGTGGGGGGTGGGTTGGGGGGGGGTGTGGGTTGGGGGTGGGGTGGGGGGGGGGGGGGTGGGGTTTTTGGGTGGGTGGTTTGTGGGGTGGGTGGGGGGGGGGGGGTTGTGGGGTGGGTGGGGGGGGGGGGGGTGGGTGTTGTTGTTTGGTGTTGGGGGTTGTGGGGGGGTTGGGGTGTGTGGTTTTGGGTTGGTGGGGGGTGTGGGGGGGGGGGTGGTGGGGTGGGGGGGGGTGGGGGGTTGGGGGGGGGGGGGGGGGGTGGGGGGGTGGTGGGGGGGGGGGGTTTGGTGTGGTGGGGGGTGGGGGGGTGGGGGGTGGGGGGTTGGGGTGGTGTGGGGGGGGGGTGGGGGGGGGGGGGGGTGGATTGGGGGTTTTTTGGTGGGTGGGTGGGGGTGGGGTTGGGTTGTGTGGGGGTGGGGTGGGTGGGGGGTGGGGGTGGTGGGTGGTGGTTGGGTGTGTGTTGTTTTGTGGTTGGGTGTGGTGGTGGTGGGGTTGTTGGGGGTGTGGTGGTGGGGTGGTTGGGTTTGGGTGTTGTTGGTGTTTGGGTTTTGGGTTTGGGTGTTGGTGGGGGGTGGGGGTTTTGGGGTGGTGGTTGGTGGTGTGGTGTTGGTTGGGGGTGTTTGGGGGTGGTGGGGGGGGGGGGGGGGGGGGGGTGTGGGGGGGGGGGGGGGGGGGGGGGGGTTGGGGGTGGGGGGGGGGGGGGGGGGGGGGGGGGGGGGGGGGGGGTTGGGTGGGTGGTGGGGGGGGGGGTGGTGTGGGTGGGTGTGGTGGGGGGGTGGTGTGTTTTGGGGGTGTTGTTTTTGTGTTGTTGGGGTGGTGGTTTGTGGGGGGGGGGGGGGGGGTTGTGGGTTTTTTAGTGGGGTTGTGGGGGGGGTTGGGTGGTTGGGGGGGGGGGTGTGGGGGGGTTGGTTTTGGGGGGTTGGTGGGGGGGTGTGGTGTTTGGGTGTGGGTTGTTGGGTGTTGTGGGTGTGTTTGGGGGGGGTTTGGTTTTGTTGTTGGGGTTGGTTGTTTTTTGTTTTGGTTGGGTTGTTTGGGTTGTGATGGTTGTGGGTTGTTTGGGGTGGGGGAGGTGGTGGTGGTTGGGGGGGGGGGTGGGGGGGGTGTGGGTGGGGGGGGGGGGGGGGTGTGGTGGGGGGTGGGGGTTTGGGGGGGGGGTTGGGGGTGGGGGGGTTGGGGGTGTGTTTGTTGTTGGGTTTTTGTTGGTGTGGTGGGTTGTGGGGTGTGGGGGTTGTGTGTGGTTTGGGGGGTTTGTTGGTGATTGTGTGTAGTGGGTAGGTGGGGTTTTGGGGGTGTGGGTTTAGTGTGTGTTTTGTGGGTGTGTTTGTGGGTGTTTTAGGTGGGTTGTTGTTTGTTGTTTGGTGGGGTGTGTTTGGTGTTGGGTTGTGTTTGTTTGGTGTTGGGTTGTGTGGGGTGTGTGGTGGTTTGTTGTGTTGTGTGGTGTTTGTGTGGGTGTGGGTGGTGTGTGTGTGGTTGGTGGTTTTTGGTGGGGTTTTTTGGTGTGTGTGGTGTTGTTTGGTTGGGTGGGTTTGGGGGTGGGTGGGGTTGGGGGGTGGTGGGGGGATGGTGTGGTTATGTTGGGTGGGAAGGTGGGGGGGGGTGGGTGTTGGGTGGTTGGTTGGGTGGGGGTTGGTGGTTTGTGTTGGGAATGGGTGGTTTGGTTTAGGGGTGTGGGGGGTGTTGTGGGGTTTGGGGGAGTGAGTGTTTTTTTGGTTGGGTGGAGGGGGGTGGGGGTGGGTGGGGGTTGGGGGGGGGGTGGGTGGGTGGGGGTGGTGATGTGGGTTTAGGGGGGGGGTTGTGGGGGTTTTGGGGGTGTGGTGGTGGGGGGTTTGGGGGGGGTGTTTGGGGGGGGGGTGTTGGGGATTGTGGGGGTTGGGGGTTTGGTGGGGGTGGTGTTGTTTGGGGGGGGGGGGGGGGGTGGGTGGGGGGGGGGGGGGGTGGGTGGTAGTGGGGGGGGGTGTGGTGGGTGTGTGGGGTGGTGGGGGGTTGGGGGGGTGTGGTTTGGGGTGATTGGGTGATGGTGGTGTTGTGGTTTGTGTGGGGTTTGGTGGGTTGGGTGGTGGGTGGTGGGGGTGGGGGTGGGGGGTGGGGGGGTGGTGGTGGGGGTGTGTTTGGGGGTTGGGTGGGGGTGGTTTTGTGTGTTTTGTGGGGTTTTTTTATTTTTTTATTTTATTTTTGTGGTTGTATGTGTTTGTGTTGGTTGGGGGTGGGGGTGTTTAGGGGGGTGTGGGGGGGGGGGTTGTGGGTGGTGGGGGGGGGGTGTGGGGGGGTTGGGTTGGGTTGGGGTGGTGTTGGTTTGTGGGTGGGGGGGGTGGGGGTTGGTTTGTGGTTGGGGGTGGGTGTGGATTTGTTTGGGTGGGGGGGGGTGGTTTAGTGGTGTGGTGGTTGTGGGGTTATTGGAGGGGGTGGTGTGGGGGGGGGTTGGGTGGGGGGGGTAGGTTAGGTTGATTTTGTGATTTTTGTGTGGGGGGGGGTTGGGTGTGGGTGGTGGGTGGGGGTTGGGAGTGGTGGGTGTGGGTGTGGTGTTTGTTTGTGGGGATGGGGTGTGGTGATTTTGGTTTGGGGGGGGTGGTTGTTTGGGGGGATGGTTGATTTGTGGTGGTTTGGGTTTGGTTGGGGGTGATGGTTTTGGGGGGTGGGGGGGGGTTGGGTTGGGTGGTGGTGATAGGTGTTGGGTGGGGGTTTGTGGTGTTGTTGGGGTTTTTGTTGGGTTTGTTTTGGATTTTGGGAGTGGGATTTTGTTAGTGGTGGGGGGGGGGGGGTTTTTGGGTGTTTGGGTGTTTGGGTTTTTTTTGGTGAGGGTGTTTTTGTGGGGCTTTGTTTTGGGGGGGGTTTTTGTGTGGGGGGTGTGGGGAGTTGGGGGGGGTTTTGGTTTGGGTTTGTGGTGGGTATTGTGGGGGTGTGTAGGGGGGGGGGGTGTGTGGGGGGGGTTGGGGTGTTGGGGTGGGGGGGGGGTGGGGGTGGGTTGTGTGGGGGGGGGGGGGGGGGGTGTTGGGTTGGTGGTGGTTGTTTGGGTGGGGGGTGGTGTGGGGGTGTGGGGGGGGGGGGTATGTGTGGGGGTGTGAGGGGGGGTGGTGGGGGGTGTTTTGTGGGTTGTGGGTTGTGGGGGGTTGTGTTGTGGGTGGGGGTGGTTGGGTGGTGGTGTGGGGGTGTGGGGGGGGGGGGGGTGGTTGTGGGGGGGGGTGGTGGGGGGGGGGGTGGGGGTGGGGGGGTGTTGTGGGTGGGGGGGGGGGGTGGTGGTTAGTGGGGGGGGGGGGGGTGGGTGGGGGGGGGGGGTTGGTTGGGGGTGGGGGGGTTGGGTGGTTGGGTGGGGGTGTTGGGGGGTTTGGTGGTTTGGGGTGAGGGGGGGGGTGGTTGGGGGGGGTTTGGGGGGGGGTGGGGTTGTTGGTGGGTTGGGGGGGGTTGGGGGGGGGGGTGTTGTGTGGGGTGTGGGGGGTGGTGTGGTGTGGTGTGGTGGTGAGGTGAGTGGGTGGTGGGGGGTTGGGGTGGGTTGAGTTTGTGGGGTTGTTTTGGGTGGGGTGGTTGGTTGTGTGTGGGTGTGTGGATGGGTTGAGGGTTTTGTGTGGGGGTTGTGGGGGGGGTTTGAGTGGGGGGGTGTGGTGGGTGTGGGGTTTGTTTGTGTTGGTGGTGGGTTGGGGTGGGGTGGTGTTGTGTGTGGGGGGAGGGGTTTGTGAGATTGTTTGGTTTTTGTTTTGTTTGTTGTGATGTTTGGTGGTGGGGGGTGTGGGTGGAGGGGGTTGTTTTTTTTGGGAAGTGGGGGGGGGGTGTGGGGGTGGGGGTTGTGTGTGGGGGGGGGTTGGTTTGGTTGTTGGTTGTTTGGTTTTGGGGGTTGGGGTGTGTGGGTGGTTGGGGGGGGTGGGGTTGGTGTGGGGGGGGGGGGGGGGGGGTGGGGGTGGGGTTGTGGTGGGGGGGGTTGGGTGGTGGGGGTGGGGGTGTGGGGGGGGGGGGTGGGGGGGGTGAGATTGGTGTGGGGGGGTGGGGGTGGGGGGTGGGGGGGTGGTGTGTTGGGGGGGGGGGGTGGGGGTGGTTGATGGGGGGGTTTGTGGGGGGGGGTGTGGGGGGGGGTGGGGGGTGGGTTGGTTGGGGGGGGGGGTGGGTGGTGTGGGGTGTGTTGTTGGGGGTTGGGGGGGGGGTGTGGGTGGGGATGTGTGGGGGGGGGGGTGGTGGGGGGGTGGGGGGGTGGGGGGGTGTGGGGGTGGTGGGTGTGTGGTGTGGGGTGGGGGGTGGGGTTTGGTGTGTTTGGGGTGGGTGGGGGGGGGGGGTGGGGGTGGTGGGGTGGGGGGGGGGTTGTTTTTGGGGGGTGTTGGGGTTGGGGTGGTGTGTGTGGTGTGTTATGGTGGGGGGGGGGGGGGGGGTTGGGGTGTTGGGGTTGGTGTGGGGTGTTGGGAGTTTGGTTGTTGGGGGTGGGGGGGTTGGTTGGGGGGGGGGTGGGTGGTGGGGGGGGGGGGTGGGTGGTGTGGTGTGGGTGGGGTTGGTGTGTGTGGTGTGGGGTGGTTGTTTGGGTTTGGGTGGTGGTGGGGGGGGTGGGGGTTGGTGGGTTGGGGTGGTGGGTTGGGGGGGTGGGGGGTTGTGGGTGGGGTGGTGGGGGGGGGGGTGGGTGGGGGTGGGGGTTGATTGGGTGGTGGGGGGTTTGTGGTGGGGGGGGGGGGGGGGGTGGGGTGGTTGGGGGGTGGGGGGGGTGTTGGTGTGGTGGGGGTGGTGTGGTGGGGGGTGGGTGGTGGGTTTGGTGGGGGTGGGTTGGGGGGGGGGGGGGGGGGGGGTTGGGGTTTGGGTGTTGGGGGTGATGGGGGGGGTGGTGGGGGGTGGGGGGGTGGGTGGGGTGTGTTGTGGGGTTGGGGTGGTGGGGGGGGGGGGGGTTGTGGTGGTGTGGGGGTGGGTGGGGGTTTTGTTTTTGGGGGGGGGGGGGGGGTTGGGGGTGTTGTGTGTGTTGTGGGGTGTTTTTTGGGGTTTGTTGTGGGGGGGTGGGGGGGGGGTGTGGTGGTGGGGGGGGGTGGGTGGTTTGTTGGTTGGTGTGGGTGGAGGGTGGGGTGGGGTTGGGGGGTGGGGGGGGGTGTGGGGGGGGGTTGGGGGGGGGTGGGTGGTTGGTTTTGGGGGGGGGGGGGGGGGGGGGGGGGGGGTGGGTGGGGGGGGGTGGGGTTGTGTGGGGGGGGTGGGGGGGGGGGGGGGGGGGGGTTGTGTGGTGTGGGTGGGGGGGGGGTGGGTGTTGTGGGGGTGGTTGTGGGGGGGTTGGGTGTGGTTGGTGTTGGGGGGGGGTGGGGTGGGGTTGGGGGGGGGGTGGGGTTGTTGGGGTTGTGGGGGGTGGGGGGGGTGGGGTTGGGGGGGGGGGGGGGGGGGGTGGTGTGTTTGGGGTGTGGGGTGGGTGGGGTGGGGGGGGTTGGGGGTGGGGGGGGTTGTGTGGGGGTTGGGGGTGGTGGGGGGGGGGGGGTGGGGGGGGGGGTTGGTGTGGTGTTTTGGGTGGGGGGGGGGTGGGGGGGGGGGGTGGGTGGGGGGGGGGGGGTGGGGGTGGGGGGGTGGGGTTTGGGTGGGGGGGGTGTGGGTGGGGGGGTGTGGGTTGGGGTGGTGGGGTGTGGGTTGGGGGGGGTGGTGTGGGGGGGTTTGGGGGGTGGGGGGTTTGGTTGGGGTTTGTGTGTGGGTGGGATGTGGGGTGTTGTGGTTGTTTGGGGGGGGGTTGGGGTGGTGGGGGGGGTGGTGGGGGGGGTGTGTTGGGGGGTGTGTGGGGGTTGGGGGTGGTGTGTTGGTGTTGTGGGGGGTTTTGGGGGGTGGGGTGGGGGGGTTTGGGGGGTGGGGTTGGGTTGGGTTGTGGTGGGGGTGTTGTGGGGGGTTTGTGTGGGGTGGGGGGGGGTGGGGGGTTGGGGGGGGGGTGGTGGGGGTGGGGGGGGGTTGGTGTGGGGTGGGGTGGGGTGGGGGGGTTGGGGGGGGGGTTGGGGGGTGTTGGGGTGGGGTGGGGGTGTGGGTGGGGGTGGTGGGGGGTGGGGGGGGGGTGTTGTGTGGGGTGGTTTGGGGGGGTGGGGGGGGGTTGGGGGTGGTTGGTGGGGGGGGTTGGGGGGGTTGGTGGGGGGGGTGGGGGGGGGGGGGGGTGGGGGGGGGGGGGGGGGTTGGGTGGGTGGGGGTGGTTGTTTGTGTTTTGTGGTTGTGGGGGGGGGGGGTGGGGGGGGGTGGTGGGGTGTGGTGTTGGTGGGTGGGGGGGGGTTGTTGGTTGGGTGGGGGGTGGGTTGTGGGTGGTGTGGTTGTTGGGGTGGTTTGGGGTTGGGGTGTGGTTGGTGGGGGGTTGGGGGTGTTGGTGGGGTAGTTTGGGTTTGTGGTTTGGGTGTTTGGGGGGGGGGTGTGGGTTGGGGGGGGGTTTGGTGTGGGTGGTGGGTGGGGGGGGGGGGGGTGGGGGTTTTGGGGGGGGGGTGGGGGGGGGTGTGTTTTGGTGGGGGGGGGGTTGTGGGGGGGTTGGGTTGGGGGGGGTGGGGGGGGGGGGGGTGGGGGGTGGGTTGGTGGGTGGGGGGGGGGGGGTGGGGGGGGGGGGGGGGTGTTGGGGGGAGGGGTTGGGGGTGGGGGGGGGGGGGGTGGGGTGGGGTGTGTGGGGGGGTGGGGGGGGGGGGGTGGGGGTGGGGTGGGGGGGTGGGGGTTTTGGGGTTTGGGGGGGGTGGGGGGGGGGTTGGTGTTGGGGGGGGGGGGGGTGTGGGGTGGTGGGTGGTGGGGGGGGGGGGTTGTTGGGGGGGGTGGGGGGGTGGGGTGGGTGGGGGGGGTTGGGGTGGGTTGGGGGGGGGTGGGGTGGTTTGGGTGTGTGGTTGGGGGGGGGTGGGGGTGGGGTGGGTGGTGGGTGGGGGGGGGGTGGGGGGGGGGGGGTGGGGGGGGGTGGGGGGTTGGGGGTGGGGGGGGGGGGGGGTGGGTGGGGGTGTTGGGGGGGGGGGTGGGGGGGGGGGGGGGGGGGGGGGGGGGGGGTGGGGGGGGGGGGTGGGGGGGGGGGGTGGGGGGGGGGGGGGGGGGGTGGTGGGTGGGGGGTGGGGGGGGTGTGGGGGGGGGGGGGGGGGGGGGGGGGGGGGGGGGGGGGGGGGGGGGGGGGGGGGGGGGGGGGGGGGGGGGGGGGGGGGGTTGGGGGGGGGGGGGTGGGGGGGGGGGGGGGGGGGGGGGGTGGGGGGGGGGGGGGGGTGGGGGGGGGGGGGGGTGGGGGGGGGGGGGGTGGGGGGGGGGGGGGGTGGGGGGGGGGGTGGGGGTGGGGGGGGGGGGGGGTGGGGGGGGGGGGGGGTGGGGGGGGGGGGGTGGGGGGGGGGGTGGGGGGGGGGGGGGGTGGGGGGGGGGGGGGGGGGTGTGGGGGGGGGGGGGTGGTGGGGGGGGGGTGGGGGGGTGGGGTGGGGGGGGGGGGGGGGGTGTGGTGGGTGGGTGGGGGGGTGGGGGGGGGTGGGGGGGGGGGGGGGGGGAGTTGGGGGGTTTGTGGGGGGGGGTTGTGTGTGGGGGTGGGTTGGTGGGGGGGGGGGGGTGTGTGGGGGGGTTGGGGGGTGGTGTGGGTGGGGGGTGGGGGGGTTGTGGTGTTGTGGTTGGGTTGTTTGGGGTGGGGGTGGGTGGGGGTGTTGGGGGGGGTGTTGGGGGGGGGGGGGGGGGTTTGTGTGGTGTGTGTTGGTGGGGGGGGGTGGGGGGGGGGTTTGGGGGGGGGGGGGGGTGGGGGGGGGGGGGGGGGGGTGGGGGGGGTGGGGGGGGTGTGGGGGGGGGGGTGGTGGTGGGGGGGGGGGGGGGTGGGGGGGTGTGGGGGGGGTGGGGGGGGGGGGGGGGGGGGGTGGGTGGGGTGTTGGGTGGGTGGTGTGTGGGTTGGGTGGTGGGGTTGGGGGGGGTGTGGGGGGGGGGGGGGGGGGGGGGGGGTGGGGTGGGGGGGGTTTGGTTGTGGTTTTGTTTTGTTTTTGGTTGTTTTTTGGGTGTTTGTGTGTTGTTTTGGTTGTTTTTTTGGATTTGTTGTTTTTGTGTTTGGTTTGTTGTTTTTTTGTGGTTGGTTTTTTGTTGGTTTTTTGGGTTTGTTGTTTTTGTTGGGTTTTTTTGTGGTTATTTGTGTGGGTGGGGGGGGGGGGGGGTTTTTTGTATGGGTTTGTGTGTTTGGTGGTTGTTGGTTTTTGGGGTGTGGTTTGGGTTGTGTTGGTTGTGGTGTTTGGGGGGGGGGGTTTGTTGGGGGGGGGGGGTTTGGTTGGGGGTGGTGTGGGGGGGGGGGGGGGGGGGGGGTGGGGTGTTTTGGGGGTGGGGGGTGGTTTGGGTTGGGGTTGGGGGTGGGGGGTTGGTTTTGGTTGGTTTGGGGGGTGGGGTGGGGGGGTGGGTGGTGGGGGGGGGGTGGGTGGGGGGGGGGGGGGTGGGGTGTTTGGGGGGTTTGTGGGTTTGGTTTGTGTGGGGTGGTGGGGGGGTGGGGGGGGGTTTGGGGGGGGGGGGGGGGGGGGGGGGGGGGTTGGGGGGGGGGGGGGTGGGGTGGGGTGTTGGGGGTTGGGTTGGTGGTGGGGGGGGGGGGTGGGGTTGGGGGGGGGGGGGGTGGTGGTTGGGGGGGTGTGGGGTTGGGGGGTGGGGTTGTGGGTGGGTGGGGGGTGGGGTGGGGGTGGGGGTGGTGTGGGGGGGGGGGGGGGGGGGTTGTGGGTTTTGTTTGGTGGGGGGGGGTGGGGGGGGGGGTTGGGTTGGGGGTGGGGGGGGGGTGGGTGGGGGGTGTTTGGGTTTGGGGGGGTTGGGGTGGGGGGGGGGTGGGGTGGTGGGGGGGGGTGGGTGGTGGGGGGTGGGTGGGGGTGGGGGGGGGGGTTTGTGGGGGGTTGTTTGGTTGGGTGGTGGGTGTGGGGTGGGGGGTTTGGGGTGGGGGGGGGGGTGTGGGGGGGGGGGGTGGGGGGGTGGGTGGGGTTTGGGTGGGGGGGGGGGGGGGGGTGGGGGTGGGTGTTTGTTGGTGGGGGGGGGGTTGGGTTTGGGTGGGGGGGGTGGGTGGGTGGGGGGGTGGGGGGTGGGGGGGGGGGGGTGGGGGGGGGGGTTGGGGGGGTGGGTGTGTTGTGGTGGTGGTGGGGGGGGGGAGGGGGGGGGGTGGGGGTGGGGGGGGGGGGGTGGGGGGGGGGGGTGTTGGGTGGTGGGGGTTTGTGGGGGTGGGGTGGGTTGGGGGTGGGGGGGGGGGTTTGGTTGGGGGTGTGTGTTGTTTTGGGTTTGGTGGGGGGTGTTGTGGTGTGGGTGTGGGTTGTTGTTTGGGTGTTGGTTTTGTGGGGTGTTTGTGGTGGTGTGTGTGGGGTTGGTGGGGGTGGTTGGGGGGGGGGGTGGGGGTGGGGGTGTGTTTTGGGGGTGGGGGGGGGGTGGGGGTTGGGGGGGGGGTGTTGTTGGGTGGGGTGGGGGGTGTGGTGGGTGGGGGGTTGGGGTGGTTGGTGGGGTGGGGGGGGGGGGGTGGGTGTGGGGTTTGTTGGTGGTGTTGGGGGGGGGTTGGGGGGGGGGGGTGGGGGGGGTGGGGGTTGGGGGGGGGGTGTGGGTTGGGGTGGTGGGGGGGGGGGGGGTGGGTTTTGGTGGGTGGGGGGTTTGGGGGTGGTGGGGGGGGGGTGGGGGTTGGTGGGGGTGGGGTGGGGGGGGTGTGTTGTTTGTTTGGGTGATGGGGGGTTGTGGGGGGGGTTGGGTGGTGTGGTGTGGGGGGTTGTGGGGGGTGGTGGGGGGGTGGGGGTGGGGGGGGTGGTTGGGGGGGGGGGGGTGGGGGTGGGTGGGGGGGGGGTTTTGGGTTGGGTGGGTGGGGTGGGGGGTGGGGGGTTGGGTGGTGTTGGGGGTGGGGGGGGGGGGGGGGGGTTTTTGGGGGTGTTTTTGTGGTGGGGGGTGGTGGGGGGGGTGGGGGTTGGGTTGTGGTGGGGGGTGGGGGTGGGGTGGGGGGTGGGGGTGGTGGGGTGGTGGTTGGTGGTGTGTTGGTTTGTGGTTGGGTTGGTGTGGGGTGGGTGTGGGGGTGTGGTGGGGGGGTGTGGGGGGGTTGGTTTGAGTTTGGGGGGGGGGTTTGGGTTTGGGGGTTTGGGGGGGGGGTGGGTTGGGGGGGGGGGTGGTGGTGGGTGGGGTTGTGTGGGGGTGTTGGGGGTGGTTGTGGTGGTGTTGTGGGGGGTGGGGGGTGGGGGGGTTAGGTTGGGGGGGGGGGGGGGGGGGGGGGGTGGGGTGGGGGGGGGGGGGGGGGGGGGGTTGGGGGGGTGGGGGGGGGGGGGGGGGGGGGGGTGGGTGGGTGGTGGGGGGGGGGGGTGGTTGGGGGGTTGGGGTGTGGTGGGGGGGGTGGTTTGTGTTTGGGTGTTGTTGTTTTTGTTGGGGGGTGGTTTGTGGGGGGGGGGGGGGTGTGGGTGTGTTTGTTGGGGTGGTGGGGGGGGGTGGGGGTGGTGGGGGGGGGGGGTGGGTGGGTTGTGGGGGGGGTTGGTGGGGGGGGGGGTGGTGGTGTTGGGTTGGGGGGGGTTTGTTGGGGTGTTTTGGGGTGTGGGGGGTTTGGGGGGGGGTGGTTTGGTTGTTTATGGGTTGGGGTTGGGTTGTGTTGGTTGGGGGTTTGGTTTGTGGGTTGTGTTGGTTGTGTGTTTGGGGTGGGGTGGTGGTGGGGGGTGGGGGGTGGGGGGGGGTTTGGGGGGGGGAGGGGGGGGGGGAGGTGGGGGTGGGTGTGGGGTGGGGTGAGGGGGGGGGGGGGGGGGTGGGGGTGTGTGTGGTGTGGGGGGGTGTGTGTGGTTGTGGTTGTTGTTTGGGGGTGTGGGGGTGTGTGGGGGTGTGGGTGTGTTTGGGTGTGGGGTTGTTTGGGGTGGTGGTGGGGTGTGTGGTTGTGGGGGGTTTTGTGGGGTGTGTGGGGGTGTGTGGGGGGGTGTTGGGGGGTGTGTGTGGGTTGGGGGGGTTGTGTTGGTTGGGGGGTGTGTGTGGGGGGTGGGGGGGGGTTTGGGGGGTTGGGGGGTGTGTGTGGGTGTTGGGGGTGTGTGTGGGGTGGGGGTTGGGTGTGTGGTTTGGGGGGGGAGTTGTGTGGGGTGTGTGGGTTTTGGTGTGGGTGGGGGGGTTGGTTAGGTTGGTGTGGGGGGGGGGGGGTGGTGGGGTGGGGGGGTTGGGTGTGTGTGTGTTGTGTTTGGGGGTGGTTTGTGGGGTGGTGGTTGTGTGGGGTGTTGGAGGTTTGGGTGGGTTGGGGGGTGGGTGGGTGGTGGGGGGGTTTTGGGTGTGGTTGTTGGGTGGGGGGTGGAGGGTAGGTGTTTTGTTTGGTTTGGGGTGGGGGGTGGTTTGGGTGGGTGTGGTGTTGGGGGGGGGTGGGTTTTTGGTGGGGTGGGTGTTGGGGGGGGGTTGTGGGGGGGGTGTTGGGGTGTTGGGGGGTGGGGTTGGGGGGTTTTTGGGGGGGGGGTTTGGTTTTTGGGGGGTGTGGGGGGGGGGGGTTTTGGTGGTTTTGTTGTTGGGTGTGGGGGGTGGGGGGGGGGGGGGGTTGTATGGGGGGTGGGGGGGGTGGGTTGGTTGTGGGTGTGTGGGTGGGGAGGGGGGGGGTGGGGTAGGGGGGGGGTGTTGTGGGTGTTGGTTTGTGTGTTTGGGGGTTGGGGGTTGGTGGGGGGGTGGGGGGGTTTTTGGGGGTTGGGGTGGGTGGGGGGGGGGTGGGGGGTGGGGTGTTGGGGGGGGGTGGGTTGGGGTTTGGGTGGGGGGGGGTTGTTTTGGGGGTTTGTTGTTGTGTATTTGTGTGGGGGTTTGTTGTTGTGGGGGTGGTTGGGGGGGTTGTTTGGGGTGGTGTTGTTGGGTTGGTTGGGGGGGGGGGGGGGGTGTGGTGTTGGGTTTGTGTGGTTTGGGGGTGGTTGGGGTAAGTTGGTGTGGGGTGGGTAGGTTAGGGTGGGGGGGTGGGTTGGTTGTTGGGTGGGGGGGATATGGATGTGTTAGGGGGGTAGGGTTGTGTTATAGGGTGTGGGGTGGAGTATGGTATGGTTGTGGTGTTTTGTTTTAGTTTTAGGTGGGTATTTGTTTGGGGGGGTGGTTAGGGTTGTTTTGTTGGGGGTTGGGTTTGTGTGTGATTGTGTGGGTGTGGTGTGTTTGTGTGTTGGTGTTGAAGGGGTGTAGTTATGTTTGTGGGGGGGGGGTGTGGTTTGGGGGGTTTGTGGTGTGGTTTGGTGTTTGGGGGGGGATTTTGGGATGGGTGGTGGGGTTGGGGTTTGGGGGGTGGGTGTGTGGTGGTATGTGTTGGGGGTGTTTGTGGTGGTTGGGGGTGATTTTTGGTGTTGTGTGTTTTGAATGTTTTGTGTGGTTGGGTGGGGGTGTTTGTGTGGTGTGGGTGTTTGTTTTGGGGTGGGTGTGGTTTGTGTGGGGGATATGGTTTTGGGGGGGGGGGGGTTGGGTGGGTGTTGTGGGGTGTTGGGGTGTGTGGTTTGGTTGTTTGGGTTGTGGTGTGTGGGGGGGGTGGGGTGGGGTTTTGTGTGGGTTGGTGGGGGGGGGGTGGGGGTGGGGTGTGTGGGGGGGTGGGGGGTGGGGGGTGTGTGGGGGGGTGGGGGGTGATGGGTGTGTGGTTTGGTGGGGGGGGGTGGGTGTGGGGTGTGGGGTTTGTGTGGGTGTGTTGGGGGGTTGTGTGGGGGGGGGGTGTTTTTTTTGGGGTTTTGGGGGGGAGGTGTTGGGGGTGTGTTTGTTGGGGTTGGGTTGGTGTGTGGGTGGTGTGTGTGGGTGGGGGGGGGGGGGGGGGGGGTTGGTTGGGGGGGGGGGGTGTGGGGGGGGGGGGGGGGTGGGTGGGGGTTTGTGTAGGGGGGGTGGTGGGGTTTTGTGGTGGGGGGAGGTTGGTGGGGGTGGGGGGGTGGGTGGGTTGGGTTGGGTTTTTATGGTGGGTGGGGGGGGTTTTGGGGGTTTGTGGGGGGGTTGTGAGGGGGGGGGGGGGGGGTTTGGTGGGGGTGGTTGGGGGGGGGTGGTGGTTTGGGGGTGGAGTGGGTTGGGGGGGGGGGGTGTTGTATGGGGGGGGGGTTGGGGGGTGGTGGTGGGTTGGGGTGTGGTGGTGGGTGGGTGTTGGGGTTGGTGTGGGGTTTGGGTGGTGTGTGGGGTGTTGTTTGTGGGGTGGTGGGGTGTGTTGTGGGGGGGGTGTTTGTGTGTGGGTTGGGGTTTTTTGTTGGGTGGGGGGTTGTGTGTTTTTGTGGTGGTGGGTGTGGGGGTGGGTGGGGGTTATGGGTGGTTGTTTGGTGGTTGGGGGGGGTGGTGATGGTAGGTGTGGTGGGGGGGGTGGGTTTGTGTGTGTGGTGGGTTTGTGTGTGTTTTGTTGTGTGGTTGGAGTGGTGGGGGGGTGTGGATGGTGGGTTTTGGTTTTTAGGGGGGGGGTGGTTGGGGGTGGTGTGTGTGGGGGGGGGTTTGGTTATTTAGTTGTGGTTGGTGTGTGGGGTGTGTGGGGTTGGGGGGGGGGGTGGTTGTGTGGGGGGGGGGGGGGGGGGGGGGGGGGTGGGGTGGGTTTGGGGTGTGTGGGGGGGTTTGGGTTTGGTTGTTTTGGGTTGTGTGGGGGGTTGGGTTGGTGGGTGTGTTTTTGGGGTTGGTTGGGGATGTTGGGGGGGGTTGGGGGGGGGGTGTTGGGGGGGGGGTGGTTGGGGGGGGGGGGGTTGGGGTGGTTGGTGGGGGGGTGGGTGGGGTGGTGGGGGGGGGTTTGGGGTGGTGTGTGGTGGTGGTTGGTGTTGGGGGTTGGGGGGGGGTGGGGTGGGTGTTTGGGGGGGGGGGGGTGGTGGGGGGGGGGGAGGTTGGGGGGGGTGGGGTTGGGGGTGTGGGGAGTATTGTTTGGTATTGTTGGGGGTTAGGTTGGTTTGTGGTGGGGTGTGGGGGGGGTGGGGGTGTGGGGGTTGGGGGGGGGTTGGGGATTTTAGGTTGGTTGGGTTTTATGTGTGTTTGTTTTGTTGTGTTGGGGTGGGGGGGTGGGGGTTGGTTTGGGTGGTTGTTAGTGTGTGGGGTTGGTGGTTGTTGGGTGGGGTGTTGGTTGGGGATGTGGTGGGGGGGGGGGTGTGATTGGTGTGGTTGGTTGGGGTGGTTGTGGTTTGTTGTGGGTGGATGTTTTGTTGTTGGGGATTTGGTGGTTTGGTAGGGTTTGGGGGGTGAGGTGTGGGTGTGGGGGTGTGGTTTTGGTTGGGTTGGGGGTGTTTGGGGGTGGGGTGGGGTGGGGTGGGGGGGGGTGTGGGTGGGGGGGGGGGGTTGGGGTGGGGGTGGGGGGGGTTGGTGGGGGGGGTTGGGGGGGGTGTTGGGGTGGGGTGGGGGTGGTGTGGTGGGGGGGTTGTGTTGTGGGGGGGGGGGGGGTGGGGGGGGGGTGGGGTGGTTGGGTTTTTGTAGTTTGGGGTGTAGTGTGGGGTGTGGTGTTTGGGGGGTGGGGTGGTGTTGTGTGGGGGGTGTGGGGGGTGGGGGAGGGGGGGGGGGTGGGGTTTTGTTTGTGAGGGGGGGGGTTGGGGAGGGGTTTGTTTGTTGTTGGGTGTGGTGTTGTGTGTGGGTAGGTGGGGGTGTTTTTTGGGGGTGTTGTGTGGGGGGGGGTGGGGGGGTTGGTTGGGGTGGGGGGGGGGGGGTTGGGGATTTGATGTGTTGTGTGGTGTGGGTGGTTGGGTGGTGGGTGTGGGTGGGGTGGGGTGGGGGGGGGTTGGTGGGGGGGGTAGGTGGTGGGTGGGTGTTTGGTTGGTTGTGGTTTGGGGGTGTTGGGGTGGTTGGTGGGGGTTGTGGGGGGGGGGGGGGGGGGTTGGTGGTGGTTTGTTGTTGGGGGGGGGGGTGGGGGGTTTGGTGGGGGGAGGTTGGTGTTTGTTTGGGGTTGTTGTTGTTGGGGGTTGGTGTGGTTGGGGGGGGGTGTGGTGTGGTTTGGTTGTGGGTTGGTGGGGGGTTGTGTTTTTGGGGGGGTGGGGGGGGGGGGTGGTATAGTTTGGTGTTGTGTGGGGTTGGGTTTGGGTTGGGTTGGTTGGGGTGGTGTTGGGGTGGTGTTTTGGGGGGTTGGGGGGTTTTGGGGGGGGGTTTTTTGGGGGGTTTGATTTTTTGGGTTTTTTGGTTGGGGGTGGTGTGGGGTGTGTTGGTGGGGGGGGGTTGTGGTGGTGTGTGGGGTTGGGTGGGGGGGGGGGGGTGGTGGGTGGGTTGGTGTTGGGGGTTGGTGTGGGGTTGGGTGGGGGGTGGTGTGGGGGTTTTTGGGGGTTGGGGTGTGGTGGGTGGTTTGTTGTGGGGTGGGGGGTTTGTGGGTTGTTGGGGGGGGGGTTGGGGGGAGGGTTGGGGGTTGGGGGGTGGGGGGGGGTGTGTTTGGGGGTTTTGGAGGGGGGGTTGGGGGATGTGGGTGTTTTTGTTGTGGGGGGTTGGGGGGGGGGGGGTGGGGGTGTGGGGTTGGGGGGTTGGGTTGGGGTGGGTGTGTGGGGGGGTGGTTGTTGGTTTTTGGTGTGGGGGTTGGGGGGGGGGTGGGGGGTTGTGGGGGTGTGGTGGGTTGGGGGGGGTGTGTGGGTTGGGGTGGTGGGGGGGTGGGGGGGGGGGTGGGGGGGTTTGGGGGGTTGGGGGTTGGGTGGGGGGAGGGTGGGGGTGGGGGTGGGGGTGTGGGGGGGGTGTTGGGGGGGTGGGGTTGTGTGGGGGGTGGGGGGGGGGGGGGGGTGTTGGTGGGGGTGGGGTGGTGGGTGGGTGGGGGGGGGGGGGGGGGGTGGGGGGGGGGGGGGGTTGGTGGGTGGGGGTGGTTGTTTGTGTTTTGTTTGGTTGGGGTGGGGGGTGGGGGGGGGGGGTGGGTGTGGGGTTGTGGTGGGTGGGTTGTGGGTGGTTGGGGTGGTTGGTTGTGGTGGTTTTTTTTTGGGTGGTTTGGGGGTGGGTGTTGGGGGTGGGTTGGTGTGGTTGTTGGGTGGGTTGGGTGTGGGTGGGGTGGGGGTTGTTTGGGTTTGTGGTTGGGGTGTTGGGGGGGGGGTGTGGGTTGGGGGGGGGTTTGGTGTGGTGGGTGGGGTGGGGGGGGGGGGGGGGGGGGGGTGGGGGGGTGGGGGGGGGTGGGGGGGGGTTGTGTGGGGGGTTGTGGGGGGTTGGGGTGTGGGGGGGGGGGGGGTGGGGGGGGGGGGGGGGGGGTGGGGGGTGTTGGTGGGTGGGGGGGGGGGGGGGTGGGGGGGGGGGGGGGGTGTGGGGGTTGGGGGTGGGGGGGGGGGGGGGGGGTGGGGTGGTGATTGGGGGGGGTGGGGGGGGGGGGGTGGGGGGTTGGTGGTGGGGGGGTGGGGTGTTGGGTGGGGGGGGGTTTTGGGGGGGGGTGGGGGGGGTGGGGGTTTGGGGGTGTGGGTGGGGGGGGGGGGGTGTGGGGGTGGTGTGGTGGGGGTTGGAGGGTGGGGGGGGTGTTTTGGGGTTGGGTATGGTGGGTGGGGGTGGGGTGGTTGGTGGGGGGGGGGGTGGTTGGGGTTGTGTTTTTTGTGTTGGGTTGGGGGGGGGGGTTGGGTGGTGGGGGTGGGAGGTGGTGGGGGGTGGTGTGGGGGGGTGGGGGTGGGGGGGGGTGGTTGTGTGGGGGGTGGGGTGGGGTGGTGGTTGGGGTTTTGGGGGGGGGGGGTAGGGGGTGGGTGGGGGGGGGGGGGGGGGGTGGGGGGGGGGGGTGGGGGGGGGGGGGGGGGTGGGGGGGGGGGGGGGGGGTGGGTGGGGGGGGTGGGGGGGTGTGTTGGGGGGGGGGGGGGGTGGGGGGGGGGGGGGGGGTGGGGGGGGGGGGGGTGGGGGGGGGGGGGGGGTGGGGGGGGGGGTGGGGGGGGGGGGGGGGTTGGGTGGGGGGGGGGGGTGGGGGGGGGGGTGGGGTTTTGTTTTTTTGGGGGGGGGGGGGGGGGGGGGGTGGGGGGGGGGGGGGTGGGGGGGGGGGGTGGGGGGGGGGGTGGGGGGGGGGGTGGGGGGGGGGTGGGGGGGGGTGGGTGGGGGGGGGTGGGGGTGGGGTGGGGGGGGGGGGGGGGGGGGTGGTGGGTGGGGTGGGGGGGTGGGGGGTGGGGGGGGGGGGGGGGGGGGTGTTGGGGGTTGTGGGGGTGGTTTTGGGGGTGGGGTGGGTTGGGGGTGGGGTGTGTGGGTTGGGGCGTGTGGGTGGGGTGGTTGTGGTGTTGTGGGTTGGGGTTGTTTTGGGGGGGTGTGGTGGGTGTTTGGGGGGGGGTGGTGTTGGGGGGGGGGGGATGTGTGTGTGTGTATATTGTTTGGTGGTGGGTGGGGGGGGGGGGGTTTTTTGGGGGTTGTTGGGGTGTGTGGGGGGGGGGGGGGGGGGTGTTGGTGGTTTTTGGGGGGAGAGTGGGGGGGGTGGGTGGTGGAGGGGGTTGGGGGTTGGGGGGTTTTAGGGGGGTTGGTAGGGGGGGGGGGGGATGGGTTTGGGGGGGTGGGGTGGGTGGGTATGGTATTTATATATGATGATTGTGGATGTAAGGATTAGTGGGGGATTGGGTTTTTAGGGGTGTGTTGGTGTGTTTTTTTTTGTTGTTTTGGATTTATTTGGTTTGAAGATTAGGAGGATTTAGAAAGAGGAAGATAAGGAGTTAGAAAAGATAAGGAGAGATAATAAAAGGTTAATAGAAGGGGAATAAGATAATTGAATAAAAAATAATAAAGGGAAAATTATAAAAGAAAAGGATAATTAAGAAAAGAAATTGAGAAAAAATAATGAAGAAAAGATAATTGAAGAAAAATATTGAAGAAAAGATAATTAAGAAAAGATAATTGAAGATTAGATAAGATAATATTAGAAAAGATTATAAGGAAGAAACATATAAAGTTAAAGTACTTAGAGAATTGATTGGAGAAGCAGTGTTGGTGTGGGTAAAGAGAAATTGTTTTATTAGGAATTTTGTTTGTTTTGAGTTTTTAGTGATGGTTTGGAGTAAATTGTTTAATTTGGAAGAATTATGTTGGGAGATTAAGGGGAAATTGTTATTATGATTTAAATTTAAATAGTAATAATCAATGGGTTGAAATTGGGGTTGATGTTTTATGAAATTAAGTAGGTGTGGGGGATTTAGGGGAATTATATTTTATTGTGTATAATTATGAAAAATTAAACTAAATGTGAAGGAAGATGATATTATTCGGTTGGGTATGTGTGTATTATTGTAAAGTAGTATTTTTTGTAGGGTTATTGTGGTTTGTTGTTTTGGTTAATGTTTGGATGGAAATTAGGGGGTTTAGAATGGTGGTGTAGAATGTAAATTAATAAGTTATGTTTTTGGTGTGTGTTATTGGTTAATTTTTGATTGGTTTTGTATGGGATGTAATGGTGTGAAGGGGGATTTAGAATAATATATTTTGAAATTGGATTGTAGGTTTGGTTATGTGTAAGTTAGTGTATTGTGATTAGTAATATGGTTGAAATATATAAAATAAGAATTTGGATGTGGGTTTTTGGGGGATGTGTGTGGGGGAGATATTGTGAAATTTTATGTATTTGTAAATTTAATAGGTAAGATAAATTGTGTTGAAAATTGATTTATTGTTTTGGGAATTGAATATGTTGTGAATTAGGATGAAGAGTTTTATTGGGGATATATATGATTTAATATTGTAAATAAGTTTGGGGAGAAAATGAATTATTTATTAGGGGTAAATGTTATTTTTTAAAGGGTTGTATGTGGGGTTGTATGGGGTGAGTTTGTGGTGAGTTTGGTGAATTAGGGTTGAAGACGGAGGATGGTTGGTTGTTGGTGGTGTGGGTGTTGTGGGATATGATTGGGGTGAGGTGTGTAGTAGAATAGGAATAAGGGTTATTTTTTTGAAGTGGTAAATAGGTAGGTGATGTGATTTGGGATTTTATGTGGTTGGGATTTTGGGATTTATTGGGGGTTTTTTAGTTTGGGGGTTTTTGGAAAATTGTATTAGGTTATAGAGATTATTATTATAGTGGGTGGTGGGGTAAGTGTGTGTTTATTGGTATTTTGGAAGTTTATATTTTTGGTGGGGTATTTGTGGTGTCTTTGTGGAAATAAAAATGTTTTGAAAGATTAGGATTTTGGATTTTGGTGAATAGAGGTGTGGTGGTAAAGGGTGAAGGGAGTAGTATAAAGAGAAAATGGATTGGAATTTATTATAATCTATATTTAATAATTAATGAAGAGAAGTTATAAGATAGGAATATAAGAGATAATCTGATATAAAAAAATGTAAAATATTTATGAATTATGGGATTTGTGTTGAAGTGTTAAGTGTTTGAGATGCGGGGTGAAATTTGGGGAGTTGGTTTTATGTGTTTGTGGTAGAAAGTTTTATGGATCAACGTTGGGAAAATTAATAGTGTGTTTGCATATATTATTGTTGAATTGGGGATAGAGTGTCAAGTGGGAAAGTTTGATTGTTATTATTATGTATTGGATATATAGAGACTCATTAATATAAATTTTATTTAGTGAATAGGGGTATGGGGTGTGAGGTAAATTTGTAGGTGTATAAATGGTTTTTGGGAAAATTGGGTAAGTTAGAATGTATGGTATTTTTGGGGGGGGGGGGGGGGGGGGGGGGGGGGGGGGGGGGGGGGGGGGGAGTTGAACAATGTAATTATGTTTGAAAGAGTATTTCTTGAAATTTTGGGTATTATGGATAAAATATAAGTTTATTATTAGTGGTGGGTTTAGTAAATAATAGGAAGGTATAAGTTGGAATATTTATGTGAATATTATTAGATTAAATTGTGTAATTATTTTGGTATGTATGGATTTTATATGTATTTAGGTGGGGTTGGGGGGGTGTTGAGGATAGGATTTTGGGGTGGGGGTGTTTTTGGGAGGGGTTGGTATAATGTTAGTTTGAAAAGTGTGATAAATAATTTGTAGGTGGTGATTGTTTTTGTATGAATGTGGGTAAAATAATGGGTTTAGGATGGTGAATGTGTTTTTGTGTTATGGAAAATTAGAGTAACAGTATGTAGGTTTAAAATGTTTTAAATGGGGTGAATTAAAGAGATTTTTTAGATTACATTTAATTTTTGTAGTTGTTAGGCTTTGGATTGATTTTAAATTAGGGGTTAATAGAAGATACATAGAGGAGAATAAAATTAAGTTGGAAGGTGGATTAGGGGGTTAGGTTGGGGATGAGTTGGAGGGAGTTGTGGAAGGGAGGTGAGGATTGGTGGGAGGGGAGGATTGGTGAGGGGAGGAGTGGTGGAGGGGAGGGAATTGGAGGGGAGGGAGTTGGGGAGGGAGGATTGGTGGAGGGGAGGATGTGAGGGGAGGAGTGGTTGAGGTAGGAGTGTGAGGGTGGGGCTTGGGGCGAGGGAGGAGTGGTAAGGGGTGTGAGAGAGATGAGGGGAGTAGCAGAGGTGGAGAGAGGGAAGGTTGTAGAAGATTGAGGATTTTATTTGTATTGTAATTTTTTTTATTTTTTTTTTTTAAATGTGGTTTATGGGAAATTTTGTTATAGGGTTGTGTAGTTGATTGTATGTGTGTTTGTATTGGAAAACAGTAATTATAATGTTAATTGGATAAAAATAAGTGAATTACATATTAAGTTTTTATTTATAATATACAACTTGACAATGAAATAATCAAAACGAACAAAAATAAGAGGCAAAAAAAAAGTGTTTTTAAGATTCTACAAAATCAAAAAAAATTGTCAATAATTATGATAATTTATGGGGTTATAATAATAGTTTAAGAATTAATGATTGTTCGAGTAGCAAGATGAGGAAATAACTTAATGGAGATGTATTCAAAGTAGCGACGCTACTTAGCTTAACTACATTTTTCAGTAGCTTGACAGTAGCGTCACTATTTACAAAACCTAGTAACTTTTCTGTAGCTAAGCTTATATTATTGCTCAAGTAGCGCGGTAGCGTCCGCCAAAGCTATTTTCTCACGGATACAAAATATTACACACATCTCTGATGTTCATATATTACAGCATTTTCCCGCAGCATAAAACAAACATATAGAAAGACAGAATGCTGATGCGCATGCGCAGGGCTTCGTAATGACACACACACGAACGTACACACACACACACACACACACACACACACACGAACGTACGCACACACACACACGCACACGCACACATGCGCGCGCTACTGGGGGAAAAAAAGCATGGGAGAGAGCCCAGGAGCCGCCGCGGTGGAGGAGGACCATGATAAGGACTCTCAAAGTGTTGTACCGTGGCCATACCTCCAAAAGTACGTCACTCTAGTCGAGATGAGCGAAAAGAAATATGTTTTTAGATGCCTACTCTGTAATCCCAAGAGCAAGTTCCTGTCGACGTCAAAGACATCTAATACAAACATACGAACACACGTTCAGGTAAATCTATTGTTTTCCATTTTGCATTAATGAGTTTAACTAAGCTTAAATCAGCTAACAACAAGAATTAAGTAGATAAGATGTTGGAGAATGGGATACTTATGATTGAACTTCAGATTTTCAGATCAGAACTCATGCTAACCAGCAGAGGGAATATTAACAAGCTAGGTTAACGGCTAACTAGAATGGACCCTATGCAGTAGTAGCCTACTAGAAAATTATGTTTAATCACAGCCACATCCATACAAATATTTAATACATGATTTCTTCTCTAGAGAGTCCACCCAAATAACTTTGCTTGCATGGAGAGGGAGCGTGAACAAGCCAAGAAGAGGAGTGCTCCTGAGGAAGACGAACACGCGCCAAAACAAGGCAGTGTGTCCCAGTATTTCAGGGGTGGTCCACGCTCTCTAAGTCAAGAACGATTCAATGAATTAGTTCTTAATTTTGTGATTCAGGGATTGCACCCACTGTGGACTGTGGAGAGGCCAGAATATATAGAACTCTTCCGTGAAATTCTACCCTCTAAGCAGTTAATATCAAGACGGACATTGGGGAGACTTTTAGATGATCATTATTCATTGATGAAGAGCACATGATCAAAAGAGTCTAAACAGAGCCATGATGCACAACAAAATGCATGGTCCTCAAACAACAGAAGCTTTCTTGGCGTGACCATCCACTGGATAGATGAAGAAAGCTTAGGCATTTGCTCTGGACATTAGCCTGTCGTAGGCTTGCACAGGGCGGCACACGCATGATGTTTTGGCAGAGATGCTTGAAGATATCCACCAACATTTCAAAGTAAAAGAAAAGGTGACCGTTACAACTACTGATAATGGTTCTAATTTTGTAAAGGCATTCAGTTTGTTTGCGGAGGCTCAAAGAACTATTGGTGGCAGTGGAGAAGAGGATGATGAAGATGACGAGGACGAGGAACAACCTGTCTTCATCAATGTCACAGATATCCTGAAAGAAGCAGAGTCAGAGGAAGATTATAGTCTCCCACCTCACCAGAGATGTGCTTGCCACACCCTCAATCTGGTTGCTACAAGAGACATTGAATGTGCCTTAAGGGAGTCAGAGCCCTTTAAGAAAATATCAAGATCAACTCTTTCCAAATGCCAGGCGTTATGGAACAAGCAGCATAGGAGTACTCAAGCTTCAGATACCATTAAGGAAAAGTTAGGTTTCCAACTAATAGTCCCTGTTTCAACCCGGTGGAACTCAACTTACCATGCCATGGAGCGTTTGAATTCCATAAAGACACAGGAACATAAACTCCACGAAATCTGCGAGTTGCTGCAGGTGACTCGCTTCAAAGCCACAGAACTAACCTTCATACAAGAGTATGTCCAATATATTTTGATATTAACTAAAAATGTGCAATGTTTCCATGTCAACATAAATGCAATAACAGTTGTAGTCTTCCAGGTTATTATTATTATTATTATTACTATTTTTAATAAAGATAATAACCACAACAATAATAAAATTAACTTACACTTTCTTATTTTTTGTGTCTCTACCAGGTGATGATGCCCCTTGCCAAAGCACTTGATGTCCTACAGTCTTCCAAAATGGCCTACACAGGAGTGTTGGTGCCAACAATCTCAATTCTCCTTGAAAAGATGGAGCAGATGAAGCATGGGATCCACCTACATCACTGTAATCCACTTATAAATGCCATCATCAGTGGGGTTAGAAAGAGATTTGAATATATTTTTCAAGACCACCGGTTGCTCATAGCCTCTGCAGCTCATCCAATGTTCAGGCTGACCTATATCCCTTTTGAAAAGAAGACACAGGTTGTTTCAAACCTAAAAGCGGAAGTGAACCAGCTACAAACCCTGGCTCCAAATTTCATGGAGACGGAGCTTGAAGACCCAAGTGATAATGGTGATGAAGTAACAGGATACTTTCCATCTGTGAAATGTACAACAGTTCAGAACGAGGTGGACATGTTCTTGCATTCATCTGAAACCAAACTAGTCAGTGCCTTCCAAAACCTGCCATTGATGAAGAAGATTTTCCTCAAATACAACACAGGAGTCCCTTCAAGTGCTGCCTCTGAAAGACTATTTAGTGTCGGAAGCGACATTTTCCGTCCAAAGAGAAATCGTCTTTCTGATTCAAATTTTGAAAAGCTTCTTTTGTGTCGTGTAAACAAACACTTGTTGTGAAAAAAAAGTTGAGAGTGGGCCCTACACATAAACCCACACACACTCACCTCACACCAAATATTTAGAAGACATTTATTTTCACTGTTTTGAAGCTATTTCCCTTTCATCAATCTCTGTAACTTACGAATAATAAGGTTGTATGATGGTTGTTACTATTGTTTTAGTAAATAGATAAGAGACAGTTCTTAGCACAATTCATATGTAAACTTTTTTTTGTCCCAATTTCAGAGGCCATTCTTTCTTAAATACAGCCAATAATGGCACTTATTCACATTTGTTATAATGTATATTGTTATAAAAACAGTAATTTGTGATGGCTCATTGTTTTTGGTGTTTTGGGCTATTGTTCAATAAATATCTACAAAATTTTAACCTTTATCTGACTGACAGTTTATCTCAAATAAGAAGATAAGCTTTATTAATCTCACACAGGAGAAAATTTACATGTCACATTTGGCATGGATAAAACACTCAAGAATTGTGCAAAAAATAAGAAATGAGCAAAAAAATGCAGGAAAATATAAAATTGCATGAACTGCAGTTTGTTTTAATTGAAAATAGCTTCTATATAGCAAGCTACTTTTGACAGAATTTTGTAAATTAGCTTGCTACATTTGTATGGGTGGTAGCTTCTGTGTAGTGAAGCTGAATTTATTGTAGAGTAGCTTGTAGCTTAGCTCACTACACAAATCAAGTAGCTTGCCCATCACTGGTCACGGAAACACAACCAGGAAGAGAAGAGAAGAAGAAGGCCCTTTATTTCAGTTTGATGCTTACACACACACATCAAGGCAAGCAGCAAACATCACTTCCGCGCCCCTTATAGGCAAAGTGGGTGACGTGTTGTTAAAAATAGGTTCAACTGCAGTTATCTGGACAGAAGCACACAACAGACAAGGTGTTAGTTTAACACTTGCATGCAACAGGGAGATGTCTTTCAGCTGTGAAGGAGGCCTGTAAAAAACCAAAAACCAAGTCCTGCTTGTTTGCTCTGCAGGCGTTTTATTTATTTCAGAACAGAACCTTTACCCTCACAGAATGGCCCCATGAGATAAGACATCTACACCCTCACACAGAGTGGCCAACTGTGGACATTGTGGATGATTATTAGCTTGGTTTCAACACCTCAATTGTAGATAGAATATATTCACATTAATTTTAATGATAGTGGACGAGGACACACCAACCGGCGTCAGTGGGAGTCGGTGGAGAAGGTATCGTGGTGGGCTCGAACCCACGACCTTCAAGCTCAAAGACCAACTGAGCCACTGTTGCACTAGAGTAGGGCC